CCGCAGGAGCCCGCCCGCCGCACGGCCCTGCCCCGCACCTCCGGCTGCGAGTTGATCTTCACGTACACCCGGCCGAGGTCCGTGTCGTAGCTGTGGCCCTGGCTGATGCAGCCGCCCGCCGAGCGCCCCGCCGAGCGGAGCACCTCGGTGCGCAGCTCCCGCCTCAGCGCCTCCTCCATGGCGGCCGCGCGCCGCCGCCCTCACCGTGCCGCACCGCGGGCGGGGCGCGCACTGCGCCTGCGCAGGACAGCGGGTGGGGCCACTGCGCCTGCGCGGGTCAACCCGAGCCTGCGCGAGGGCGGCGCTGCGCTTGCGCRGAGGGGACATAGCGCGGCGGGCGGCGCTGAGCTGAGGGCGGCACTGCGCCTGCGCAGAGGAGGGGGGTGAACCGAGTTGTGGGAGGCACTGCGCCTGCGCGGAGGGCGCAACAGGGTTGTGGGCGGTACTGCGGCTGCGCAGCTGGGGGTAGAGAAAGGGTGGGAGCTACTGCGCATGCGCAGATGCAGAGGCGACGGCGCAGAGGGGCACTGCGCCTGCGCAGAGGGGCACTGCGCCTGCGCGGTGTGCGGGGCGGTGAGATGGCGGCCGCCACCGGGAGAGGTGGCGTTGGGAAGCGCCCCGGGGTGCAGGCCCGGTTGTGCGGCCGTGGGAGCCGCCGCTGTGCTCGGCCGGGCGGAGGGGAGCGCACCTGGCCGGGCCGGGTGGAGGTGCTGGCGGGGCTCTGGCCTCTGGGGAGCCTGCGAGATAAAAACGCTGCAGCAGAGCAATAGGTGTGACAACGGGCAGTAATTTCAAAATATTTTKATTTATTGGGCTTTCTGGCCATAGCAAAGGTGCCTTCTGATTCTCAGCAGTAATGAGAGCAGGTTGCTGTTACTGAGTAGGAGCAATGAGTACGTCAAAGTAAACTGCTATGACTGCTTCCTATTAAAGCTCATTATTGTTTCTGTTACTTAGTAGGTAACTCGTTTATTGCTATTTGTAATGCTAAAAATACAGTTTTTCAAGTGAGGCAGCAAGAGTTCTTTCTGTGATTTCTTTTTTTCTGTATTTAACACTTACTAAAGGAAATATGTTTTTTATTCTTCAAGGTCTCTGAACTTTACKTTTCAGGAGTTTTCATGCGTCTTTTTATCCTTTGCCTTTTTTTTCCTTTTATCTTGAAATTTTGAATGGGAATTAATATTTTGTCTTTAGCAGTAATTCTGGGTAGACTGTAGTCCAGAGAGAATGTGCTATCATGAGTGTTTTTGCTAGGATTTTGTGCTTTTGGCTATTTCTTGTGCACAAGCAATCTCAGAAGTGCCGGATTTATTGCATGTACCCAGACTGCAGAGCAGGTATGTAGCAGAAAAGGTGCTTTTTAGAACATGTGGAATTTCCACCCTTAGAAAAACTCYCAAGCTGCGGGTTGAGGATGTGACAGCTGTGGGTTGGGGTTTGCTGCCCCTCCGTGTGTGCGAGGCTGCTCGGGTGGGACCTGTTGCTGTGACTGTGTAGAAGGGCAGGTTCACTTAAGTGACTTCAGATGTTGGCTGTAGAGCAAGTTACCATCATGGACATGTCAGTGATAGTTTAAAGCCAAAGAAGCTGTTACTTAGTTCTAACCAGGGATGAATCCGTACCACAAATGCACAGGAACAGAAATCAGACTTTTTTTTTTTTGTATGCTGCAATTGTTTTCTATCACATACTAGACCYCCTGCCTCTTCTCATAACATTATCCTTAGGATAGTGTTTTGCGAAAGTTGGATTCAGCAGGCTGCAGTGGTTGATGAAATGTGGTTGTGATTATGTAGAGGAATCTTATTTTTTCTCCAGGAGCCTAGGAATCAACAGCAGCTGCTGTGGAAAATGATACTGTGAGTTATCTTTGAACATTCCTTCTTTTTCAGAGAATAAAAGGGTAACATCCATTCTAGGATCTACAGGACTTGCTTTCTCATTCAATAGCTTTTAAAGAACTGTGAGATTAGGAATGATTTAATCCACCTTTTTATTGTTAAATGACACTTCCGCAATTCTCTGATTTTTTTTTCTTTTTTTTTTTTCCTCCCTGCTTTTCACTCAGCAATGAGAAGACAATTGCAGTTTAAGTTGCAATAAATGTAGTGGAGTTAAAATAGATAGAAAAGGATAGTTTGGTCTTCAAATACAAAGCTGTAAGAACATACTTTATACAATCAAAAAAGAAGTTTGTCAACCTATACTAAAGAACAGAACAGCAAATGCCCTAGTAGAGCAATTGCTCTTAATTCCACTGAGTTTAGTTGGATTGTCCTTCGAGCTGGTTGCATCCTCTTGGCGAGGATGAAGCAGGAGTTTGGCCAAACCTGTACTGTCGAGCTCATTAAGTTCAAGGTGGACACAGTGACATTGCTGTTCGGGGTGCCGCGTGTCCCAGGCCCTTCTGCTCCCCATCTTGCCYTTCTGTGCCATAAATTACTGCCCCGCCTCGAAATAAGGTATTGAGTCCTGGCCCAAATGCGCTTCCAGAGGGCTTGGGAACAGCAGAGCCACAAGGGCTGTGTGGCGGAGGGAACGGCAATAATCCTTCCTTCCTTCCCCATCTCCCTTCTTTTCCGCCGTGTACCATTTGCTCCCGTTTGAGTATTTAAAAATTTGCAGTATTCTGTTGAGACCGTCACCTCTCCCTGTGCGGCTGGCCTTCGCCAGGTGCCGYGGCTCGCTTGCCACAGTGGCTAATTTCTTGTTTAAAATAGTGAAGGAGAAGACAGCTGGCGAGCCGGGCTGTGAGTTATGTGGTGAGTCATCGGCTGGTATGAGCCCTGATCCGGGTGGAAAAGCCCTGCAGCTGCTGATGTCTGCTGGCTGCTTGGCCGTGTGTATGGAACAGAAAAGATAATTGGTACGTGCAGCCTTTTCTAGTTTGTTTTTATATATATATAAATCTAAAATATACATTATGTCTTTTCAGGCTCTGAGCCTCTGTTTGTGTGAACACAGATGTTTTGTGGACTCTTTTTCCCGCTATATCCATGGATCGGCTGAGAGGGCAGTTCAGGAAAGATGTAGGAATTTCCATTACAGAAGGAGATCATTTGTAAGTCTGTCATGGAGATATGTTGTTAGGGCTTCTTTTTCCCCTTAATCATGACTTGCCTGGAAGGAGAAAAGTTAGTTTTTTAAAAAAATGCCTCAGATCCCCTGTATGAGCAGATAAGTACAGTGAAACGAAAAGTTCGATATCAAAATAATGAACAAATGACTAAAGTGTGGAGTTTAGCATTTTGTCTGATGATGCAAAGACGAGGGCAGAGTGTCGCTGTCGCCTCTGCAGACAAGTTTGTGCTGTCATGGATTAATTTTTCACCATAAACGTAGTGATTCCAGCTGCAGAATTTGGGGCACAGCCTGMATGAAAGGGAGGTCAAAGCCGAAGGACCTGCTCTCCTGACTTGGTGCAGAGAGAATTTTTGTGTCCTTGCACTAAGATGTTGTCTGCCTGTCTCCTACATACAAAGTATGTCATATTACCACGGGATTTCTTTGGCGGAAAGTTTTGGGAGAATGCTCATTTTTACTTCATTTTAATAATGAGAAAAATGGCTCTTTTTGAGGGTTAAAAAAAAAAAAAAAAGCTTTTCCAATAAATAGAACTGCCATTTTTGATGCAAAAAGACTATGTCTTTTTCAAAAAGTTTGTCTTTTTTTAATAATGATCAATAAATTGTTATTTTTTATGTATTCATTTTTTTACTGCTCTGGCCTGTATTTAGCCTAGTTCTATTTGATACGTGGGAAGAGTAGTAGCACATAGTCCTTATTTCTTATTCTTCAAAAATCAAGTGCTCTCAGCCCATCTCTCCCCAGYGTCCGGAGCGCTTTGGGCCTGCAGGAGCACCTGATGTGACTCTGGAATGCCGGCGGCTGGAAGGAAAACTGCCTCCGCAGGCGGCGCGTGGTGCTTCGGGATCCGTAGGGACCACGGCGGGACATTTTGTACACTGCTTCGGGTTGCGCTGCATGAAAAATACCCAGGAAGGATGCAGCCGCCTTCGTGGGCTTTCYGCTGTGTTTGCAGTCCTAAAGAGGCGTGTTCAGACCTTTTTATTATTATTATTTTGCGATGAGCAGAGCACTGTTGCCTCATACCCATACACACAGACTTTATTAGTCAAGTGCTTGTTTTCCTTTCGAGTTGCAGTGTAGTGTGTAGATGCAGAACCACTTTGAGGTTAGCGCTTACACGGGGCTGCAGGTGACCCAGAATAAGCCCTGTGTACGTGAAAACTCCTCCGGACCCATGTGTTTGCCAAAAAGGGGATTTTTTTCCAGTAAAACAGCAGCATAAACCTTTCATTTACATGTACTGATCCAAAGCATACAGCTTTGTTTTGGCTATTTATTTCTGTCTTTAAACAAAAAAATGTCTCAGATGAATGTGACTCTGGGAATTACTCAGGTTTAGCAAGGTTTTACTCAAGARAAAAAATAATTTATATTTACTGAGAGATGTGCCATACGTAAATGAGAAGAAATTCATGATTTAGGCATGGAATTTAGGCAGTATAGATGGGCATTACTGTAAGTTTTAAAAAATGTGTTTTTTTCCATAAGCTCGCTTATGGGCAAAGCCAACATGGATGTGGATCTGAGGGCAGAAGTTCGTGTTTYGGCAGGTTAGAACCATCCTAAAAGCGAGAGTAGGGAGCGCAGACTGAGCGGTGCCCAAGGCCGGGCTGCAGGGCCGCCTGTGAGGCCGTACGGGGCGGGGGGCAAAGGGGGAACAACCGGGTTTACAGACCCCGCAGCTTCCCGGAGCCCCCCAGCCCGCGGCTCCCGCGGCCCGAGTCCCTGGTGGCGCCGCAGGGGCCGGGACTCGAACCCGCGGCCTCCCAGCTGTGCCGCGTCAACAGCACGGGGACGGGGCGGGACTCCCTGTGACTGACGAGCCAGAGAGCCAATGGCGGCCATGGGACCGCCTAGCAACTGAGCCGCCGTGTCCCGCTGGGAGCACGCGGAAGGGGCGGCCGAGCTCCCTCCCTCCAATGGGAACGAGGAGGGCGGGGCCGGCTGCACCAATAAGCGACAGCGACGGGCGAGCCGCCCCCCTGCTCTCCTTGGGAAGCGGGGAGGGGGCGGGGGTAGTGCCCCGGAGGACCAATGAGCGCTGAGGGCGGTGCGAGCGGCCAGTAGCGGCGCGAGGGGCGGGGCGCGGCGCGTGTCAGAGCGCCCTGGCCGGGCTGCTGGGCGCTGGGGGGCAGCGTGCGGAACCGGAGCGGAACCGGAGCGGAACCGGCGCGGAACCGGAGCGGAACCGGCATGAGGCGCGTTGCCGCCCGCCGCTGAGCTCGGCCGCCGCCCCGGGCGCCCCGGGGATGCCGCTGCGCGGCCGCGCCGCGCCCGGCCGGGGGCATGAGCAGCCCGGCGCGAGCCTACGACTTCCTGCTCAAGTTCCTGCTCGTGGGCGACAGCGACGTGGGCAAGGGCGAGATCCTGGCCAGCCTGCAGGGCGGCGCCGCCGAGGCGCCCTACGGCCTCCACATGGGTGAGCAGCGCGGGCGCCCCTTCCCGCTGCCGTCCGTGCGTGCGGGGATCCGCGGTGACGCCAACGGCGTTTGCCCTGAAGGGGCTTTCGCTGGAAAATAGGAAATATTTTTTCTCTCTTTTTTTACTTTCCCGTATTTCTCGTTTCCCAGGGAGCGGGGGAGTAGCCCTTTAAGATCAAGGTTCSGGGTTGCAGCTGGTTTTCCGAGCGGTCCCGTCCGTCCTGGCCCCGGGAAGGGGCTCCCTGTAGCCTCGTAGCCCTTTTCCCCCTTCTTCGTCTTTTCCTTCTTTCMCCTAGGGCTCTGAGTTGGAAAGAGCAGGGATGGGGTGTGAGGGGGCCAGTCAAAACGGGCCAGACGTGTGAGCGACCCAGGACAGAACTCGGCTTTCCATGCCGGCAAATGGGAGCAACTTCGCGAGGCAACGGGAGAGGGGACGTGTTGGGGTGGGAGATGAGAGCACTGGAAAAGGAGCCCTGAAGAGCCTCGGAAAAGGGAACAAACCAGTTCGTTTGGGCACYTGGGTAATTCGGACGGTCATTTGTTGAACTTGGGTGCGCAGGGGAGACGGAGTCTGCCTCTTACACCAGTGTGTCCCGCTGGCACGGAGCGGATTAAMGGTGGGAATGTGAATGGTGAGAAGGTTGGAAAGAATGTGCTGCAACAGGGCCTGTAATGAAGGAAAGATGAGGCCGTTGATAAGGGCTGCAGGTGTTCATCGAGAAAAGACCTTTATTACCAACTTTGGGGGTAGAATGAGCCGGGGATAGGGAGGAGAACCAGCCTCACGTCATCAGTTGGATCCCTCAAGCTGCCCCTGCCCCGCGAGCAAAGGCGTGAGAGCATTTGGTATAAATCAGAGGCTAAGAGATGGTACTTAATGCCAAAGGGTTCTGCGTTGGAAACCAGAGAGGAAGAGGCTTTTAATAACGCTGCAAGGTAAGGATTGCCATGGAAGACCCATTGGTGAGCGTGGTCCATGGAGAGGGTTTAGGAAGCAGCTCTCCTGGAGGTGGGCAAGGAGGCCGGCGGGGTCCTGACCTGCCTGGGTGCATCCTCCAGGTTTTGTGCATCCTCCTTAAAKCTGGCACTGCAAAAATTGACACAAACTTTGTTCCCTCTGGTGAGAAAAACTGCACAAAGGCGATTCTGCAGGGAGCAAGAGGAACTTTGCTTTAGAGTGTTGTTAAATTATCTRTCTGAACAAATGCTTAGGAAATTTTTGCTTCTAGACTAGAACACAAAACCTTAGGTACACTGTCCCTGGGTAGGCAAATATTTTGATGTTTTGGTTTACTGGATTTTCTTTTTTTTTTTTCCTTTTTTCACTCTTGCTTTCGTACCAAAATAGAGAAAATAGTGCTTGCAGCCTGACTGTCTGATGCAGGGGCTCAGAGGAATGATCGCTCAAACCCAGGTACTCCTCCTCTCCTTGCAGGAGTGTCAGGTTTTTAAACTGACRGATTTATTTCCTTCCATCCATCCATCTTTTGTAATTTCTCTCTGCCCTTAGATTGCAGTACAGTCACTGTAGGAGGAGAGAAAAGGCTCCAGCTAAAACAAGGAATCAAAAGGCAATATCATTAACAGCAAAAATTAAGAGATTGAGATTTGTGAATTGAGCCGTGGGCTCCTTCCCCCACCAGGACAAGGCCAGTGCAGAACTGAGGGAAGGAAGGTCCCTCCTTCCGAAATTTGCTTTGGAGTTTCTCCGCTCTGGACTGCGTTTTTGCGACTCTCCTTGACTGAAAGGCAGGGGCAATGAAGCCCTCCTTTCTCCTGGTGTATAATAATGGCCACGATGGCTCGCTTAGCCCTGACTTGTTTGGCTGCGTTACGTTTCTGTAATCGCTCTGTGATCTGAACCCTGAGTTAGAAGCCCCGTGACGCCAACACGGCCACGTTTCCGCATTTCCCTGTGCCTATTGCTGACTTCTGGGGACAACCTGTAGACCCTTCTGCAGCCGAGGCCATTGAAACTYGGGCAGGTGAGTGCACAGATGTCTGCGCAGGTTCATTGCCCTGGCCCACAAGGGGCCTGGCTTTCCCTGGCAGCGCGGGGAAAGCACAACTGCATCTCCCTTAGCTCCTGCCGAGTGACCTGTCCTAAGGGGCGGAGTASGCTGGGAGTTCCCCTCCTCCTCCAAGTTTTAATAAAATCCAGTTGCATCCGCACTGGCCTTGGCTGACAAGGATCTAAACTGCTCCCTTGTGGCAAGAAGGGTGGATGCGTTTGGGTTCCCCTTCCTTAGGGGCCAGTTTAAGCCCCTGGAAACGGTGTCGGCTCCCGTGGTGCCAGCGGGGAGGAGCAGCCGCCCGGGCAGAGCACGGCCCGGGCAGAGCACGGCCCGCTCCGGACGCACCGGGAAGCGGGAGCGGATCCCGCGCGATGGTGGCCGCGGCGGCCGCCCAGCGTGTTCTCCCGCTGGCGCCTCGCTCACCACTGGAGACTTCAGACTCGGTATTTGCTCATCTTCTTTCCGTGTTCTTAAGGGAAAAGTGGAGAGACCGACTCCATCTCCTCACCCGTGGCTGCTCTGTTTCCCCGGTGGCGGAGGTGGCCGCTCTGCTGAGCCGCGAGGGCCGCGGCAGCSCGGAGCCCTGCAGCCCCAGGGCAGGCCCCGTCTCACCCGCTGCCCCTTGTGTTAGTTATCGCGGCGACTCTCCCGGCTTAAGCATGTTGGTAATGCCCTTCACGCTGCTTGGCTGCTTCGGTTCTTTAGCTCGTGTTCCCCCATCCTGGCCTGCCCGCCGCTGCAGCTCTGTGTGGAGAAAAAATATCTTTTATAAACGCTTTTTTGACCTGGAGATAATGTTAGAGAGTCCTGTTTCATGTCAACTAGTTAAACTGTGCCAGTGTTTGGAAATGTGAACTGTGCCAGTGGAAATGTGAAGGAGGCTGAAACAGGCGGCGTTTGGGAGTCGCTCAGTCCTGCAGTGCTGGAAGCTTCACGCTGCCGGGCGCAGATCCCTTCCTTGTGCTTCCTCGCCGTGGCTTTTGGCGAGGGTTATTCAGACCCAACCGCTGTATTTTCCCGGTTCTGTGCTTGCGCATTCAGCATTGGCAGGACCTTGCTTCCCCTCCAGCCTGGCCCAGTGCAAAGAGCCCTGGCTCCTCCCTGCCCAAACTGCTCCCTAGGGACTGCGCAGCCGCGAGGTCAAATGCGAAGCCCGGAGCTGTCCTTGGAAAGAATGTGTTCAGAGAGCAGCCAAAAGTGGTTTTTGAGGTGTGTTTCTCATTGACCTCCTTTTCTCTTCTAATACAAACTAAACCATTATAGATGTTTAGGTGAAAAAGAAACTGTTAGAATCAACCCCTGAAAAGTGTGATTTAGTTAACAAATTCCAAATGAAAGTAGCTTGAATGCTTGACAGTGTTTCGGAACAGCRTGTTACTGCAACTCCCATGCCCTTGCACTTTATTTGCAAGCTCATGTTGTGCCGTGCCTTCAAGTGGGGTATTTAAGCACTTGAGATATGAAACTGGCAGCTGGAAAACCCAGAAGAGACCCAGCAGGTCCAGCAGCCTTTGCAATGTTCTTTTAAGACTAGACTGAGGAAGAGAGCCTCTTGTAGCTGATGCACTCTGTGGAATAAATGAGTATAGGGAGAGTCGTGGAGTAAGTTCTTTCCAAGGATACGTGCTCGCTGCTTTAGGAAAGAAGGGCTCCCTCCTACGCACAGCACACGATCTTGAAGGCAGTTGGGACTCTCTTCTCCTGTATTTTATTTTCTCTCTCTCTCTCTCTCTCTCTCTCTMTMTMTMTMTATATATATATATATTATTATTATTTTTATTATCTATATGCAGAAAGGGAGATAAATATATATCATATATGTATACATATGACTAGCTCAGTGTGAAAGACTGCATGGAATGCAATGCGTAGTTTGCAGGAAGAAAAGCCAGCTCTCCTGCCAGCTCCAAAGGGAAGGGGCTGCACAGTGCCGGGTCACCTCCGGGAGAGGAGAGCGCGGAGTGGGGCCGGTAGCGGTGCCCGGAGCAGGGCCGGTAGCGCGCGGTGCCTGCGGAGCCCCTGGAGGCAGCGGCCCCAGTGCAAGCGCTTCCCAGCGGCACAAGGATCAGCCTGGTTTTCTTTGGCCGTGAGGATTCCCATGGGACAGGCTCCCTGGAGAGCACGGGCAGCCTCTGGCCATGCAGGTGTTCAGGGCCGGGCTGGGTAAAGCCCTGAGGAACCTCATCTGATCCTGCTTTGAGCAGGGGGTTCAACTAGATACCCTCCTCAGGTCCTTCTGACCTGTATTTTCCTATGATTCTGTTCAGCTGATATATTTTTGTGTATATATATATATATGTATGTGTGTGTTGCTACTTAGGTGTTCTGTTTAAAAACACAGTTTATATCTCTTTGGGAATACAGGCAAAGGCTGGCAAGACATGCAAGCCTGGGGAGCGATTTCTTCTCTCCGTCAGACYGTTCAGCGACCGGCTGACGCCGAGCTGCTGCCCGCGGGTCTGTCCCTAGAGCAGAGCCGGGAGGAGGCAGCGGCCTCCCCGCTGCTCCGCGGGGCTCCGGCTCCCGCTCCCCGCGGCGGGATCTGGCTCTTACAGAGTCATTGCTTTCACCAGGGCCCCTGCGGTGCAGTGCTTGAGGGGTCCATGGGTGATCCTTAGGGGCTTAAAATAGACTGGCTTTCTGAAAATCCTTTAGAAGTCAAAGGAAGCRCAGTGATAACCATGTGCGTTTTTCTTCCTTCTAAATTCCAAAGGTTGTTAGTAGCTTAGAGGCCCTTACATAATGTCAGCATAATTTATCTTTACTTTCTGTGTTCAGTGTTTACTCTCTTGTTTATGACTTACTGTTKTTCCTGCCAAGAGAAGATCAATTCTGCTGTTTTTCTGCTTGCGAGTCCCTCCTGCTTTAACGTGCCTGTGCTCCACGCTCGGCGGGCAGGAGCCCGCTCTGTCAGCAGGGCTGCTTCCCTGACTCCCGCGTGTCTTTCCTGGTTAGGGACGCGCTCCCAGCGCTGTGGACATGCG